GCCCACACAAGGATGTGACACGATGTAACGTCCGTGCTAGCTCTCCATTGGGCCAGTACATCTCAGACTAAGTCTGGACTCTCAGACGCCATCATTCTGTGCAGGTTCTGCAGGCTTAGTGTATCCTCACGCGGTGCCTATTTGCTGGAATAGCCATCAGTCTCCTGAGTTTAATTTGTGTGTTTGCTGCCAGGGTTTTCAATTACCAGCCCTTTGCTTAAATCATATTTATTATACATTCCTCAAAAATGTGACCTCTATTCAAAGATAAAATGTATTGAGGAGCAAGATACTCTTTATCAGATGAAAGATTTTATTAATAGTCTATTTTTCAGAATTACTTTTCTTGAATATGAATATGAAAAGAAATGAATGACATAACCAGGTATTTCTAGGAATCAAGTATTTTTTTAAACAACACTCACTATTTTCTAACAAAAAAATAATATAGTCCCAGGCAAAAGTCATCGTAGGTTGCCCCCCTATGCATGTAAATATGTATCTCTGTGACTGTGTGTGTGCACACCTGCATATGTCATCTATGCTTCCATATCAAATTAATAACTCCATCTATTGATGACGAATAAACATATCTCAAACCATTGGGAGAATGTTTACATGCAAATCACACACATAATATTCTTAAACTATCTTAAATAAATATCAACTTTTAAAGTTCAACTCCACAATAAGAAATGTTTTAAATTTAGATGAAGACAAATTCAATAACATTCCCCATAATAATGTATCATGGATATTAGATGATGGCTGTTTTTATGAGCTTTGATCAGTGTTACCAAAATTACATAGTTCTAGTACATATTTAAGATATTTTTATAGACCGAGTCAACTGAAAAATATTAAATTAAGAATGAATTTCACAGTTAATGCATTTTATAAAGACCTTCTTCAAATACAAATAGAGCATTTAACAAATAATCTACACTTCCCCAAATATCATTAAATGCACAAATGGTAGAAATAAAATTAAATAATTTTGCAAGTTTTTGCAACAAGGCTTCATTCAGAAAGAAAAACTATCTAACATATCAGAAAAGATTTCAGTCATTTTGATTGTTAAATTTCCTATGAATAGCTTGCAACAAAGTGTTAATACACTCCACAAATAGAGACGCATATAAATTTGACTGAGCCTTCACACACGTACGAACAATCTCCTTTCTTACTAACTGCTTGGTGATGCCTGTATTTGTAGCTCTAAATTTGGGCCTCCCAATTCCTGGCACTCAGTGTAGAGGATTTCATCACAGTGCTAAACTCCGTCACTTCTTATCCTTTTTTAAGTCTGTAATGATGTGCCCTTCTTTAAGTCTGTAATGTGATGTGCCCTTCATTAGCTGGAGCTAAATGTTAACCCCTGCTCAGCAGATACAGAACATTGTCGCCCTTACTCAGGCCACACTGCCCATCATGAAATGGACTCGGGCAGTTTTACAGCTGACCCTCAATGCTGTGTGTCTTCAGACCATTCTATTTCATCCCAATGGCTACTTTTCAGAATTGAAACACCTCTTCTACCCTCCAGTGACTCTCCTATAACCGTTGATGACTTGGGCCGTGTGCCCATGTTGTTAGGTGCCGTGGAATTGGTTCTTCTAGCAACCTTACGTTTGAGCCCATCGTGGCTGCCACTCTGCCTATCCTTGCGCCCACAGGAGGAGGAAACGATTTTCTGCCTTTGGGACCCGCTAAGGACATTAGTAGTCCAGGAAAAATTAGAATGCTGACTAAGCTTTGGCTTTCGGCCAGTAAAACGAAAAGGTGGGCAACTAGTGTGATCAGTACTCGTTTGTATGTCTATCAGCCTGTTATGTCCAAACATGAAATTTATTTAAGTTTTTTAGTTGAATTCTAATGAAAATATTTATTGCCATTGCAGTTAGATTTTTTTCCCTATATTTCAAAGCTCTGTTTTCTCATTCTTCCCCATTTATGATACTGAAAGGCAAAAAAAAAGTTTCAGGCATACTTAGGGTATAAAAAGGGATTGTCTATGAGGCCTATTTCACAGAAATATAAACCTTCAGGCAGCTAATATGGAAGTCTTCCTACTTTGTTAGCCTCATGCTGCTGTGTGATAGGAAGGTTTATTCTTTGAATTATAGTGTTGCTCAATAACTTTTCCATTTTAAAATTTTAAATAAGGGAATTCAATTTCCTTATTACTATTACAAGCTGATGTCAAATAGTCTGATGTTTACTTGGTGAGAAAAATTCACCAGAGTCCTGAATTTTCTAAGTTCCATATTCATGCACTCATGCTAAATGAACATAGATTTTTAAGTTATAATGCTTGCGTATAATATCGTAGTATTACCTTTAAGTAGCTATCACTAACAGAGAGAATTCTATAATTATACCAAAATTCATTGTCCTCTAGTTGACTGACTCAGTGATTTATAGGACAGAGGAGAATTGCCTGTAGCGTTCCAAGATTATAAATTGATTCAGAAGCTGACTTCTTTCTCCTACAGAGTGGCTGGTGAATTTTGAGTAGCAACTAAGAACTTTTAACTACTGAGACATCAGGACGCCTATAACTATACTGCATATATATTTTCCAGGAAACTGAAAAACATTTGGAGTTTTCTGAATTTAGAAAAAAACAACAATTGAAGAGAATAATAAGTTATTTTTTAATAAAATTTTTTTTTTAACTGTTAGGTTTTTCAGATCCTACCCAGCAATTTTATAATGATGCTCATTTTTAGCTATTAGATATCTCTTAAATTTAAAATATTAAAAATGTTCCCAAATCAATAAAAAACGATTTTTTTCAGTTTCATATTTTTTCAAGAAAATTTGTTCATGGTTTTGAATGCAACACAGGCAATACAGAAATTTGCACATGTACACCAACAGAGAGCCCATGCAACTTTTTTAATTAAGCACGTATATGTAAAAATGCGTTTTAGTGACTGATACCTTTTATTCTAGTGACTTCAAACTTCTCCAAAGAGGCAGAGGATAGCTCAGTTAACAAATGTTACCAAGAAAAGTAAGCCAATGAATAGTGCGTAAAGCATAACTTAGTCCTGCTAATTGCCATAGCCCTTTACTATGAAGCAAGATACAGCAATCCAAAGATCCAATCTATATAAAACCAGCCCTGTGATTTTCACACACTGTTGCTGGGAGTTAGACACAAATATGAAATACACAGGATGCCTAGTTAGATCAGACTTGTCTTAGGATGTTATCATTATTTTTGATATATTAATTATTAAAATTGGATGTCTGCCTCCATTCTTGAAAAAAACAAGAACAAAAACCCTAAGCAAAGTGTTTATGGTTTTCATAAATAAAAATTTAACCCTCTATATGCAGCATGACAAGTATAAAACCTTTGCCAAGGTCTATTTTCCTATTTTAAATGTAGGCCTTCCTCCCACCCCCCTTCCTGTCCTTTGTTTAAGCTAGTAATTATACTAATACTTAGAAGTAATGAACTCCAGTATCACTTAATTTAAAAAAAAATCATTTTATTGGGGCAGTATCACTTTTTAAGCTTCGAGTTGTCATGGCATTTTTCCCCCTTGCTTCTTCCTTTTGTTTTTTAAAACAATAAACACATCTACATGTGCATATTGAAATGATGAATCTTTTTAAATTAGGAATCTTATTGGAATAAATAACTGAAGAATTTTTTACAATATATAAATATGCCTATTTTGTGCTGATCTCTAGTCCTCTTGGTAAAATGTGACAAGCTATTTTCAGAAGCTGAAATTACATTTAAAAACATACTCAAAACATGAAGTGGCCCTGTTTTTACAGTTATCACATTAATAATTTATAAGTACTTTTTATATAAACTCAAACTCATTTCCATTCTGACTCATAGCAACAGTACAGGCACTCCACAAAGTTAATTGTGGTTTCCTCTGATTGGTTACAAAAATGACCAAGAGACTGCATTTTATGGAGGACTTGGGCTATTATTAAATTTTAAAATTTGATCTGCAGCCCCTATTTATAGACCAGTCATCTAGCAGGCTTCTCCATTAACTATACAGTGGGGACTAGTCTGAGTCTTAATGTCTTTTTAAATAAAAATCAATGCCTGGGAATGACAGTTTGCATTAGGTAGCTTTAGCCTTTCTCTGCCTTGGAAAGTACATGTCGAACAGAGCTTGAGAGCATTACAGTAGCTCGCTACCACCCTCCACACGAGGAGAAAATAAGCATTTGTAGAGACATACTGAACTATACTGAGTATCTGATTCCTTAAATGTCATAAAATGTTTGCATGGTGGAGGGATTGTGCTGAACACATTGAGGTGCATTCATATTCCTGTGTGGAAGGAAAGGGTCCTCTTCAGCCTGTGACTCTGGGAGCTCCAACAGTAGATAAATTTAAGATCACAATCATTGGGGAAGCAATACTGATTTTACTGCTTTGAACGAACAACTAGAAGTATGAATGAAAGACGAAACAACACATTCTTGCCAGGTTAGGATGTACACCTATGTTATATAAAGCAAGCATTTGGCTCCCATACAAAAAGCTGGCAATTCCTGTTAGTCAAAAGACAAGACCATTCCTAATGGCAGAGGAAAACAAAGCCAAAGTCATCCTGGTGTGCACAAGAAAACATGCTGAGAAGGCTGCCTCCATTCCTGGAAGTGTTTTTACTACATGATGGGTCCGGCAAGTCCCATCATTTACAAGGAAAGGGGCTGAGAACTAGAGAGGCAGCGACGACGCCCCAAAAGAGTGGGCCAAGGTAGAAATCAGAGCAGAATCAGATGACCATAAACCGACTTAGGGTATCAGTTATTTTCCAATGGACTGGGACAAGTGAGAGTTCCCTTCTCACTTGATGCTAAGCGCCCTGGTAGCTAAGGAGAGTGCATTTCCTCTCTGGTGTGGCATTTACATCCCGGCTTGTGAGTCCCTGGAAAAGAGCTTGCCCACCACCCGGGCTCAGCTCCTCCATAACCGCCCCCATCCACCTCCCAGAGCCCTTAGCACCCACCTTCACCACATATGTCACTCCGGGTCCCAGGACCTGGTCGCTGGCATGCAGCCAGCCCCGGGGGGGCCTGGGAATCAGCTCCTCGGCCGGCCGGCCCTTCCTGGGGTTGCTCATGGCGCTGGGCGCGGGCGGCGCACTGCCCCTGGCCTGGAGGCTGGCACATGGGCGGTCCCGGGCGCCCCAGGCCAAGCGGGGGGCGCTACAGCTGCCGGAGCGCTTGGCGCCGCCGCCCTCCCGCGCCGCCGAGGACACACTCCGGATGCCCGAGCTGGAGAGTTTCAGGTGGGACACCTTGTGGATCAGGTGGCCTAGGTGTCGGGGCCTGTCTTCCGGAGCTTGGCGCAGCCCCTCGCTGGATACCAAATACGCGGACCCGGGAGAGGTCGCCGGCACAGCGGAGAGCTTGCCGCCGCCGCCGTCGCCGCCGCCGCTCATGGATAGGTGGTGTGCAAGTTCATCGACTGATGTCACAGAATCATTCCTGAAGCGGTTGTACTTGGTGCGCGGCAGCATGCCCTTCTACCTGCTTGCCCGCATTCGCTCCGGCAGGGTGGATGCCAGCCCCGGCGCAGACTGCTTCGCATCGCCGGCGAACCACCGTCTACCGCGCCCGGAGAAAAAGTGGGGTGCCCCTGGCACAGGGTTTGCAAAGAAAGGGCGAGGGGGGAGCCATCTGTATCCTCCCGCGATGAGAGACAACAACCACACAGCCCCGACCCCAAAGAAGAAGGCTCATGGTTCCGCGTTGGAATAGGAAAAGTAATACCGGGTAGTTGGCTCTGATCCCGGCTGCCCAGAGCTGCCAAGTCTCACAGAAGAAGCAGGACTCATTCCGTGAGGAGACCCTTCTCAACAAAGACTTGAGGAACGCTGCAAATCATTTCCTGCAGCAAAAAAAAAAAAAAGGTAAAGGACTAACCTCCACCCACTGACAGCACACTAGAACCAATCAATTTTCAAATTTCCTGTTTCTACCTTCCCACATATTTCCTTCTAATCTTTCTTTGGTTTTCACTTCCCTGGCTCCGGGCTCTGCATTTATGCCCAAGGTAAACCCAGTGCCTTAAAAAAAATCAAATCAACTTTATAAAAGCCATGGTTTTATGTTACATCTTCATTTTTCCTATTCAGTCCATCTGCATTAGCCCTAAAAGTGTCCTATAAAGATGCTTAACATGTGGAGGAGGCTTTTAAAGTTTAGGATCCTCATCAAATGCTGATGAATTGTAATTTGAAAGTAGCAGTAATTTGTAAATGGCAAAAAACAAATCTTCACTCTTAGCTGTATATAAATTGCCAAGTTCCTGGGAGTTTTTTCTCTTTCTTTTCACATCAACAGAGCAATTATGTCAAGTGCCTTTGTGGCAATGCAGTATCTAAAAAAAAAAATTTTAATCTGCATATTAACGGTTGTCCAGTGCCAATCCGGGTATCTTCCCTGTTAATTTCCAGAAGTCTTTTTCAATCAAGGTGAAGTGAAACGTCTACTTCCGGAGAAGAATGCTTCTTGATGGGCTTCATTCAGTGAGTGAGTGAGTGAGTGAGTGAGTGAGTGAGTGAGTGTGTGTTGGGGAGGGGGCAGAAGGGGCTTGCTTCGTGGTTAAGAAATGCTATACATAGCCTGTCTGTTACTGCTTGCAATTCTGCGGTAAGAAAGGTAAAATGCAGTTGCTTGTGTTACACAAAAGAGGCACAAGAAAAATACCTGCATTTCAGGATTCAGACTCTTCCTCCTCAGTTAGGAAAATAGAAAATTCATGGCCCCAGAAGGTCTGGAGTCCATTTTCTCTTGCCATTAATCAGTTCTGCTAATCTCCATCAAGAATTAGAGAACTTGCCTGACACAAGCAAATGTAGACAACAAAAATTTCCCAACAACTTTGGAGGAAGCCAATTAATTTATCCCTTGGGTAAATTCTAACTCACCCTGAATTCCCTCAAACCCATGACAAAACATCTGTGACACCAGCCGAACCACCCCCTAAAAGATTTTTTTAAGAAAACAAGGTTTAATCAGTGAACTCGGGGTACACAGAGTGAAGCCAACTCCTAGGATTTGAGCATGCGGTGCCTTGAGTCCTGATGCCCAGGAGAAAGCAATCCAGCTGCGCCTCCCTTAGCTTCACTGCCAGCTGCGGCAGCACTAGCGGAAGAGCCTGGAGAGCTCTAGCTCGCGCTCTCTCTCTCTCTCTCTCTCTCTCTCTCTCTCTCTTTTGTCTTACACTGGCTTGCATAGCAACAGCAAACACACAACCCACCCCCCACCCCCCATAGATGATTTTGATTGTTCTTAAAGCCTTCCCAAATTCAAAGCCCAATGGCTCGCTCATTCTCAGTGATCTTCATTAGAAGCACATCAAAACAGTAAAATGTGAATGAAATTCTGTTTGTGTGAATGGAAGGGCCAGCTAGCAAGCCAAGGTTTCTGTGAATGAAGCGGGGCCTTGCAACAGCTGCCAGGCAGTCCCTTGGGTAGGAGCAGTCTCAGCCAATGAGCAGGCACCTCGATGACTCATTCAACAAAGACTAGCTCAATAGTGGAAGATTCCATTTTAATCAAAGGCAAAGATCTTTCATCCAACTGCAGAGGGGGGTGGGCGTGGGGGAGGGCAGCTTGGGAAGCAGGAGGGGGAGAGCAAAAAACAAAAGATCAAAACAAAATGAACGCACATACACAAACAGCTTGATTACAGCAAATATCTAGGCATGAAGAAGGCACCTGTGACGGGGAGAGGAAAAGCCGGTTTGGGAACGAAATGGAGAAATATTGGTTAGGTGTGAGTAGGAGCAGCCTCTTTCTTAGAGGTGAGCTCTAAGTCTTTCATTCAGTTGGTTCATTTACAATAAAGAGCAAAGATGGATCTGCTCATTCCACTTGGCACTTATTATGAATGTACACTGGGCACACATTCACACCCTCAGGATCTTGCCCACTATCCCCTTTCATGAAAAGAACATAAAGCAAGCTGATTCCTGTTCTGAGTCTTCAAGTGGAAGAAGGGAAACCCAAAGCTTCATAATTAATCCTTTAGCACACAGGGAATACATTACTGTAATTATAATGAAGCAAATGGAGGGAAATCGGTCATTTTCAAACATAAATAGCAATTTATAGCCTGCAGTGCCTCATATAAATATATATATATATATATCAGCAAACAGTGTGGTCAGCATTCCAAGAGAACAGTAAAACCTCAGTTACCTAAAGGATGCCTTTGGGTCCTTGCTTGGGGCCAAGAAGCTTATTTTAAAACACTTTCCTTAAAATTTTGGTTTCTCAGTCTGCAATCAAACAGAAATTGTTAAGAAAGGAGATTGTTAGGTTAGGTAATAATAAATTACATTTCCATAGCTTGACAAACACATAAGAACAAGGAGACAAAAAGCCATTAAAAAGTCACCTTTAGACGATGACCCCAAATAGAACAGCCAGTCCACAGAGAGGACCACATGGCCAGCCCCACTATGAGACGTGATGCCCCTCACTTACCCATGGCCCTGCAGGGGACAACACAAGTGACACAGTGTGGGAATTGCGCCTGATCTGACGCTGCCACACTGAGGCAAAGCACTGGGGGAGTGCAGCGGAACAGCAGGGGAGGGGAGTCACAAGATCCCCAGGGAATGATGAGGGTGGACATTGGAGACAGGGCATGGTGCCCCAACAGGCTAGACTGGAAAACACAAGCTTTTCTTTCTTGGTATATTTTAATTTGTTCTTCGTCAGTGGATTGATGTTGTTGCTGTTTTGTTGTACATTGTTGCTAGGTTTTGCTCTGTCTTGTTTTTGTGTGTGTTGTTGTCTCCGCAGGCCTGTCTGGATAGGAAAGGCTGGATGAACAATCTGGAGGAGAAAACAACGGGACTGACAGTTCCGGGGGGACATGGGAGAGGGGGAGGTAGGGGAAGGGAAGAGGTGTTAACAAACCCAGGGAAAGGGAACAACAAGCAATTCAAATTGGTGGGGAGGTGGGTGTGGGAGACCTGGTAGGGCATGATCAAGGGGAAGGTAACAAAGAGGAAGTGCTGAAATCCTGGTGGGGACTGAGCATGATAGTGGGACAGGAGGAGAATCAAGGGAAATAGAGGAAAAGAGCTGGGAGGCAAAGGGCATTTATAGAGGTCTAGATAAAGACATGTACATATGCAAATATATTTATATGAGGATGGGGAAATAGATCTATGAGCCTACATGTATAGGTTTAGTATTAAGGTAGCAGAAGGACATTGGGCCTCCACTCAAGTACTCCCTCAACGCAAGAATACTTTCTTCTATTAAATTGGCATTCTATGATGCTCACCTTTCCGACACAACCGCTGAAGACAAAGCGGGTGAATAAGCAAATGTGGTGAAGAAAGCTGATGGTGCCCGGCTATCAAAAGATATAGCATCTAGGGTCTTAAAATCTTTAAGGTAAACAAGCGGCCATCTAGCTCAGAAGCAACAAAGCCCACATGGAACAACATATCAACCTGTGTGATCACGGGGTGTTGAACGGATCACTGAAGACAAATGGGTGCATAAGCAAATGTGGCGAAGAAAGCTGATGGTGCCCGGCTATCAAAAAGTATAGCGTCTGGGGTCTTAAAGGCTTGAAGGTAATCAAGCGGCCATCAAGCTCAGAAGCAACAAAGCCCACATGGAAGAAGCACACCAGCCTATGCAACCATGAGCTGTCGAAGGGATCAGGTATAAGGCATCATCAGAACAAAAAATCTTACCATAGTGAATGATGGGGGGAGTGCGGATTGGAGATCCATAGCCCATTAGTAGGCCACTGGAGATCCCCTTGCAGAGGGGTCTCGGGAAGGAGACGAGCCAGTCGGGGTGCGATGTAACAACGATGCGCTTTATACAATTGATGTGTGTATGGATTGCGATAACAGTTGTATGAGCCCCTAATAAAATGTTTTTTAAAAAAGTCACCTTTAAGATTCAAAGAAGTCTATCTCTGTGGTCATTTGTGAGGAGTATTGTAAAACACTGCAATTTTTCATTTTAAACTGATACCTAACGAACATTTTGCTATTAGCAAAAAATAAGTGGTAACATTAATTTGCTATCTTACATTTTTGAGGGTCAGAAAAACAAAATGATGGAGATCATATGGAGAGTAATCAAGGCAACAACGAGAATGTATCTTTTGTTGTTATTTTTGAGAATATACAGTAAGACATACAACAAGTAAACAGTTTTTTACCTGTACCACTTAGTGACATTGAATGCATTCTACCAGTTCTGCAACATGCTGACCCTACTTTTTTCCCCACTAACATAAATTCACTGTCTTTTAAGGTTCTTTTCTTTCAAGTTGCTCTTGTCAATTTGATACCAGATATGTAGTCCTTCAAAGAACCGTAATGCTAAAGGATCCTATGAACAAAATTTTGAATGATGCACAAAGCACAGGAAGAAGAGGGAAGGAAATCACAGAGTCACTGTGTATGGTTGGTGTTCAGCCACTTTAAGAGTTAGCATCCAATCAAAAATTAATGGTATTGAAAAATAAGTCCAACTACATTGGTGCCTTTAGCATTATGTTGTCCGTTTGTGAGAGCTGTGGTGGTGTTTACATTACCGTATATACTTGTGTATAAGCCGGGTTTTTCAACACATTTTTAATGCAGTTTTTGTGGTAAAATTAGGTGCCTTGGCTGATATTTGGGATGACTTATACTCGAGTATATACAGTGACTTACCATCAATAATGAAAGTTGTAGTCCTTGATTTCATCAGCAAACAAGATTATATCATCTTGCTAATAACCCTTCCTCCAATCCTGATGTCATCTTTTTTTCTGTTAGTTTAGTTTCTCGGATTATTTGCTCAACCTACAAA